AGCAAAATGGGGGGTAGGTTGACAGATAAAAGGAATTGGAGAAAGGGGGAAATGGGGGTAGGTTATCAGAAAAGGGGGGGTAGAATGACAAAGGAGGGATGGGGGCAGGTTGACAGGGAAGGGGGGGGAAGAGGAGGAAGATTGTTAGAAGAGGAAGAGGGAAGGAAGCAAAGAGGGGGAGGGGATGGATATACTCTCTCTGCAAGTTTATTGTGGGTCCCTACTGGGCGGGGGCCAGGAGAAGGAAGGTTGGAAGAGGATTCAGTGGCCAAGGAGGAAGTGCCAACTTCTGGAGGAGCCACGGGAGGAGGACACTGCACCGTTGGAAACTGTTGGGGAGTGGGGGGGGCTGCCCTGTTCCCTGTTAGGGAAGGGAGAAACTTGCAGGGAGGGGACTCCCCCCCCTCCTTTGCTCCCCCCCCCCCGGGAGTCTAAACATCCTTCCCTTTCTCTCCCCTTCCTCTGGCCAGGCTGATGCGCTCTGTGGCTGCCCTAGTGGCGTGGCTGCTCCCCACCAAGTGCCCAGAGGAGCAGGCCGAGCGGCAGCGGGGAGAGCTGGAGGGGCACCGCTTCGTTGCTTCAGGGCGTTGGCTGAGGGGACAGGGCACGGCCCGGCTTGGCTGAGACACCTCCTCCCCTCCCTCCCCTCGCCGGGTGAGGCAAAGGCTGGCAGGCATCAGTTGGCGGAGGGGGTGAAACGAGCGGCAGCTCCCAGGGTATCTTTTGCACGTGGAGCCTTGGCAGCCGCGCCAGTTGTTCTCGAGGCAGCCAACTCCTGGCGTTCCAAACGGCAGCGGCGGCGGCTTCCCTGGGGCTCTCCAGCACGTTCTCCCGGCTTAGTATGTACGACGTTCTCTGCGCAGGGGCTGTTAACAGTGTTCTGCATTTTGGCTGTTGTTAACCTCCCCCTTATGTTTGTTTAAAGCTTTTAGATTTTTCTGCACACCTGGCGAGCAGCCCACGTGTGCAGGATAATCTCTTTTCCCTCCATGTCCTGTCCGTCTCTGGAAATAAGTATCCGCACACAGGGGCACAGTTGGGAATTAGATCTATAGAAGATAAAGTACTCCATATACCTAAATCTGATTAGGGCACGGTTTTTACCATGGCCAAATTTTATTTCTCCAAAAATGGCTACAGCTGGCAAAGCAACAAAAGACACAGGGCACCAGAGACTAACACACACTGACTTGGTGAAGCCATAGAAGCTGTGGATGAGGACTCTGCATAGGCTTCCCAGTCATCAGAAGAATGTTCCAGGGCCCACAATTAGTAGAAAAGGAAGAAGGGGTTTTGCAGATGTTTTATTGTATTTCTTTGCATTTTTAAAAATGTGTTTGCGCCCATGCCTGGAAGTCATGGCGACCTCTGGCGACTCCAACTGGGGCACGGAGGACGTCCAGAGGTGGCTTGGTAGCCTGCCTCCAGCCTCCCGGCCCTGGTGTTCCCTGGAGGTCTCCCGTCCAAATACTTGTCGGCCCTGCTTAGAGATGTGAAGGCCCAGAAAAAAACCGGAAAAATTCAGAAAAAACCCGTTTCCCCCCCGTTTTTTTCCTGAAGCCTTTTTGTTTTTTTCCGAAAAATTGGAAAAATTGAGAAAAGAAAAGAAAAAAAATTGATTATGGAATGTTTTATTTTAACATGATGAATAAAATATTTTAAGACCAGGTGTTCAAATATTTTCCAAATCATTTCTAATATATATATATATATCTAGGTTACAAACTGAACTCTCCAATGCAAGAACAAGATGCATTTCTTCCTTTAGGAGGTGCGATTGTCAGAAGAAAAGAAAAAGGTTTCAGTTTTGTTTTTGCATGTGGGTGGGTATTCTGTTTGTAATAATTGTTTGGCTACACTATATTTTTAATATGCTAGTTGTGATAATTTCATGCCAAGTAAAAATGTCCATAGTCATATTTTATGTTTCTAAAGTAACAGAATGACTTTCAAACTAGAAAAGACAAAAGAAATGCTAATGTAGCATTTTTTCCAATTTTTCCGAAAATTTCCGTTTCCCCCCCCCAAAAAAAACCGGGGTTTTTTCCGAGCTTCAAAATTTCTGGAAATCTTACATCTCTAGCCCTGCTTAGCTTCTTGCCATGTGAGGAGATCAGGCGTTCCCGGGCGACCCAGGTCAGGGCTACTATCCTTGTGGTTCTTCTGTCCTTACAGTGGCTGGAGGCATCACTGGACATCTGGGTCACCAGGGTAGTTTGGGTACATGAATCAAAAGTAACAAATACGCTGAAGTTGTGCACGTTAATTTCTTCCTTTCTACCTCACCCCAAGGTATTGTCGGGGAGGCAGATGAGAATGGAGAAGATTACTATCTCTGGACCTACAAAAAACTTGAAATAGGTTACAATGGAAATAGAATTGTGGATGTCAATCTGACAAGCGAAGGGAAAGTTAAACTGGTCCCTAACACCAAAATCCAGATGTCTTATTCTGTAAGTAATTTTTAATTTATATGTAACTTCCAAGTTATTTTGGCAAAAGTGGGGGTAAATTGGCAGCTTCTTCAATGGACTGAGGTTAGTTTAATTCTGTCCTCATCACTGAGAGCCAGTTGCTGTGTTCCCTGCAATTTCCTGCTGGCTCTGTCCATTTCCAGAAGCATGAAAAGGCAGGGGTGGCAAAGAAATAAAATTAATAGGACCAAACATCTCGCCAGGTGTGGCTAGCCACTGGGCAAGTTGCACCTGGCAGAATTTTCGTCTGGTTTGGATGGCCCCTGGTCCTCTAGTTTGTACAGTTCTCTTCCCTTACATGGTTAGTTCCTTCTTGGCTGCTTTATTCCTAAAATGGACGTGAAGAACATGGAGGCAACTGCTGGCCAGTCCACAGTTTGCGGCCCTTGGCGGTCACTGTCCTTGAGAGTTCCATGACAGGTAGTCTAGAGCGAGGTGCGGCGGTCAGAAAAAAATGGCGCCTGTTGTATTTCTGCTAGTCATGAAGATTGAAAACCATGAGGCTGATGCCAGGAAGGCACTTCACTTTCTTGCACTTTACCTGAAAAGAACAATACCTGCTTGTAATTTGTGAGCATGCTCTGATTACACAAGAAGAAGCATTTAAGCGTCAAGCTTCATTTCTACTTCTTAGACACAACAAAAAGCAGAGACATTTTGTTCATCCATTCATCCAATCTTGTTCAGAAGTAGGAACGTTGAAACGACACTGGTCATTCCGGAGCACATCGTTTAGATGCAATTTGATGTGTTATTTATTGTATACTGTATTGTTTGTTAGACTTACCTTAATATTGTGTTAATTTTTCTGGCTACAGTAGTATTGGCTCGTTAATTTTTGCGAATAGTTCAGTTTTTTTGTCTGGTCCTTTTTGTAATACCTTTGATACTGTGTTCCATCATTGGTATAATTAGCTTTCTATTATTAGGGAGAAAATGTGGCAGCCCTTGACCTGTATGATGCATGTAGAATGGGGGGTATATTTTAGACTGGTTTCACTTCTTAGCTGGTTGGATGTTATTCCCTTAAAGTGGGACCCTGTGGATTTACAACCAAATCTCAATCTCTCTCTCTCTCTCTCTCTCTCTCTCT